TATAAATGCAGCCATTTAATAATAAAAGTGGAGACTTGACAATTACGTCTTAATACGTCAAGTTAATTTTCTTTAAACTTAAAAAAAATATATAAATAAATACATAAATAAAATTTTTTTTTAAATTTTTAAAGATTTTTATGAAAATTCTTAACACTCTTTTAAGCTCTACAAAATACCAACAAAAATCTGTCAAAAGTAATAAAGTACATAAGCCCAGTGAGCAGCGGCGACACTTGTGTGTGGAATAGTATAGTGAAATGCATAGGGTATTACCTAGTCGGATACTCTACAATAAAGATCTACTCCTTGTGCGACTTTACTGGCTAAATAAATGTTATTAGCTAGATGACAAACAAAATATTTCGAAGCAAACATTTACAGCTAATTGCCTTCAATTAATTATAGAAAATATATTTTAGTTTTCTCAGATAATCACAAAATAGCATGTCAGTCAGTCATAAATATAGTTCCAGCTTGTAAGCTTTGGGACTCAAGTTCTATATGCAATCACAAAGACATTTATTAGAATCAATTAAATAAATTAGCAAATTCAAGTTCGATCAAAAAGTAAAATTAAATTCAATTATATTCTGTAAATCTCTCAAAAAATTTCTTTTCCCAGGAATTTCAAATTTAACACAACAAGAGAATATACTTTTATTTATAAATATACTTAGATACATATATAACTGATTAAGAAGGTCGCTTACTACATATAAATTCAATTATACAAAATCCACAGAGTGTGAGTGCTCGACTCTAGCTGTCCAGAGCAATGCATGAGTTATGAAAATTATTTGCGGCAGCTGCGGTCGAGAAATTGCACATAATACGTCAAAGTCAGAAATTGATTTAAGTCAATTAATTTAAACGAGCCACAACAATAACAGGCCACGCCCCTGCCACACCCATGCGCTCGCCATCGGCTGGACACGCTGCCATTTTTTGGGGCATGTGGCGGGTCGGGGCGATGGCGTCGTCTCAAGCGTAATAAGCAATCGGAAGTGGTTGCCAGACACGTATAACGTGTTGGTGGCGGGTCTGAAGTGGTTGTGTTTGAGTGGTTAGTGAGGGTGAGGTGGGGCTACCTTGGTTACCAGCCATCCAAGGGGCGCTGTAATTGTATTAGTGCAGCGCAAACATGAGCCACGAGGAGTCACTGAGGAGTCCCTCCGCTAATGGGGTGGGAATTGTATTTACTCATATGTCTTGCACAGACAAGTTAATTATTTTATGGTCAGCGTGTTTATTTTTGGCAAATCGATTTTCACGCGCTCTAATGTACGAAACAACAGAAGCACACACACACACACACCCATTACCTAACACATACACTTCTATTCTCTTTGTTTTCGGCATGTTGCCTACTTTGTAACTACTTCAAATAATAAAATATTTGGCCAGCTCGCAGTTTCTAGCGCTTTATTTGCTCTAGCCAAACGCCCAAATATTTGCAGAATGTTTGTCTGAATTAATTAACAACATTTTAAAAGTCGGTACGACTCTTCCTTTCTTTTCCACTCTCCGTCTCTCTCTCTCTCTGTATATATGTGGGCTTTGCGTAGGAGCTGAACTCAAGCAGAGACACTGACTTTCAACTTCATTTGCATTTTATGCCCTCAGCATATTTCGAGTTGACGCTTTGTACCAAGTGGACCTAGAGTGGGCAGAGAGGGTATATTAGTTTTGAATTTTATATGAAAATATATGTAGCTAAAGAGCTGGCATGACTCATCTATGGGCAGGGATTGTAGACCAATTACAAATATTCTAAATTCTGATATAAATCAGATGAAATCGGTAATTATGTTAG